TTGGCATTTGTACATGAATTTGTAAAGACCTTGATGTTATAATGATGTAGACGCTTCTCTCTCTCTCTCTCTCTCTTTTTTGAGGTACAGTTTCCACCCAATTCATGTACAATGTACAGTAGAATACATTTAATGGCCCGGGAGTTAAAGGTTAAGTAAAATTCCCTCAACTACTAACTATTAAATGCAATTATTTTATTATAATTCACCTTCAGCTAAATATTTGACTGATTGGCATTTGTACATGAATTTGTAAAGACCTTGATGTTATAATGATGTAGACGCTTCTCTCTCTCTCTCTCTCTCTCTCTCTCTCTCTCTCTCTCTTGATTTCTTTAATTCATTCATTTATTGATCACAAGAAAAGTCTTTCTATTAGCAAATATACAGTTATCTAAAAATCCATAGTTTTTTAGTGTATTTTTGTCTCTACTTTAGGAAAACACTTATTAATTATATTTAAAAATAATGCTTTAAAAATAAAAGTGTTTATTAATGGTTTTAATACATGTTAATTACAATAAATTAAATATAATAATTTTAATAATTGCACATTTAAGCTACGGTATATACTAATTAATGTAATTTAAATATTAATTAAAAGCAAAAGTTCTATTTAAAGTGGTTGTGCAATTTTTTGTGATTATAGTTGTGGCGGAATTGTTTTGTTTAATAAATTATAATAATTTTAAATGTTGTAATAATGAGTGACAAAGTTTGCAGCGTTTGTGGCGATCGCTCAGTCGGTATGTTTAATAATGTTGTAAAATTAATTTTATTAATTGATTGGTTAAATATCCGAATTTATAAATAGGCTATAACTTTGAAGCCCTAACATGTGAGTCGTGTAGATCGTTTTTTCGCCGCAATTCAACACGTGTTGAGGTATATAGAGTTGGATATGAAATGATAATTAGTTTTGTAACAATTTGTTTGTTTAGGAATTTATCTGCTTTTTTGGTAACAATTGTGTTATAAATCGTTTGACGCGAAAATTCTGTAAAAAGTGCAGAATTAATAGATGTTTTGCCGTCGGTATGAAAAATGTGCGAAAATTACATTATATTAATTATTTTAATAAAATATATTAACGATTTCTTTGTTGAATATTTAGAAAACAAATGCACACAAAAGGTATCGACGATTACCTGATGATGAATCTCAGTGTTTGGATATAATGGCATCAAATGATTTAATTGAGAGCAACAGAACGGATACAACAATACCATCAATGATCAGAGGATTTATATTCAATTTAAACGAGTTAGAGATTAACAAATTTAAGGAGTTATTCAATTCAGTGGGTATTGTAAGAGACCATAAGCTCAAGTCTATAGAGTACGAGACGGTGTGTGCGTCCGAAGCGTTTCATGTGTTGCTAAACGGTGTGGATCTGATGTTACCCCGAATGGCAAGGATTTGGCCACAAATTACTGGATTCAATGAGTTGTGCGAAGACGACAAGATTGTGCTCCTGAAGACCTCATGCCCTCAAATTATGACTTTGCAGAGTATTATGCTTTTCGACTTCGAGGGCCAGTTCTGGACGATTCCTATTGTATGTCATTATTATATTTTTAAATGAACTAAAATTATTACCACAGTTACTGATAAATCCAAATATAAAATCTCTCAAATAATAAATTTAGAATAAATTATGGCTTATTTTTCTAATATATTTTTTTTAAATTTTTTGTAAAATTGTTAGAACGAAGAGAAGGCAACTCTACTGTCAATAAATGTTATGATGGGTTGGAATCAAACATTGGCTACAATTCATCAAAAATTTATGTATTGTTTGAGAGATGAATTCAATGATGACATGAATTTACTTGATTTGGTAGTATTTGACATATTTAATAGAATAATATATATATTTTGTTTGATTCAATATATCAATAGCTCACAGGCATTGTATTATTTACCCCGGACCTACCAGATATTGTTCATAAGCATAATGTTAAGTGAGTAGGATTAATTAATATTATATTTTAAATTTATTATAATTTATTTATTGTTTAATATAGACTCCAACAGAAGACATACATGTATTTACTTCAACGCTATTTAGAGATTAAACACAACTCAAAGTCAGAATCGGAGACACATTTCAGGAGTTTAATGAATTGTCTGCAAGTGTTGTATGAATTAAATTGTTTATTTCGTGAACACATTGAAAACTCAATGATTCTACCAAATAGTGTGACACCTCTTGTGCACGAGGTATTTGAGATTAAAACATCAAATTGATCATGGTTATAGTATTATACTTATTTACAGAATATTAATTAATTTTGTTAAGCTTTTTGTTTTAAGCGTCTATTAATTATATTTGTAAATAACATGGATTTTAAATAATTTTGAGTAATATTATAAAGTTAATATAAAGATAAATGCGCATAAAAGCGGAATCACTTGATCCCGTATAAAATTTAAAATAATTAGTGGACTTATCTCAACTAAATTTTAACAGTATCAATGATATCAAGTGAAAAAGTCTATAAAATTTCATTAATTTACCTATACCCATTTGTAAGATATAAATTCATAACTGCATTAAAATTTACCCGCGTTTTAACACTACACCAGATTTCGGGAATAATAGAGAAAAAAAATATTTTTAATTCAAGATTTTGATTATATATTTATTATAATATCATTTCAATGGTTTAGTTGTGTTATAAAAAAATATTTGTATCAACTTAAATGAATTTTCATGACCCCACATAACCACCATTTTTGATCAAGTTTACCGATTTATAAGTTCGGGACCGGTTCTGATCAGGTTGGGCAAGTTTGATCACGCTCAAACTTTCAGATATTGTTACCATATATTGTAAGAATAGTTTAATTAATTAATGTTTTGTTAAATTCATCGGGAACAGTACTTGGTCAAGTGAGTTCCGACGGTGACTTTCCAAAACTTTTTAAGGCCTAAAATTGTGGCCATCGGGTGATTTAAAATATTTTATTATACATGATTGTTTGAGGAACAAATTAATAGACGTAACTGTTTAATATAAAAATATTTCGAGTTAAATTCAGTAGTTATTTTTAATTTTTCACTGAATTAAATGATTCCGGTTTTATGCGCATTGAACTTTATTACTTATATTTATATGTACTTTATAAAATTTTAATTGTGTAAATTGATGTAAATACAATTTCGCCTCACGATTTCATCACAGTATTGAATAACACAATAAATTTAAGTTTTATATTGAAATTAAATAAACCTAGTAATTTTTTGATGGCATTTTGCTTCAAAATGTTCTTAAAATAGATATAATTAAAGTACATATTTTACACATTTGTATAAATGGTTAGTTAAAAATCTATAATAAATAATTCTGTTAGTTACCTGTACACTATAAGTTATACGATATCGCCTGTTATTAGTTTTAGTTCTCTCTCTCTCTCTCTCATCTCTAATAGATTTTTAATATACTTCCAGTGATGTGTTTGTTATGTATGTGTGTTTGGGTTTTGCCGTAAACTAATTGTCTGTTGGTTTAGCATATAATATTCTCTCTCTCTCTCTCTCTCTCTCTCTCTCTCTCCAAAGTAATTATTGTAAAACACTTATGAAAGCAAATATAAATCTATTTAAAAATTGATCGTTACATTAGTAAACATTTGTTTTTATTAAATTGAAACACTTATGATAAATTATTTTTAAAATGTTGTAACATTACAATTAATTGTTGTAAATGAAAATGTTTTGTTTGGTATGACATATGAAAACATTTTTAAAATATGCATTAATTATAATAACACTTATGATCTGAAGTGTTATAAACTTCATGTGAAGCCATTTAAATATTGATTAAATATATTGAGTACTATTAACTATTATTAAAGTTAACTAATAATAATTATTATTATAATTCTTGTCATAAAGATTGTATTGTGAAACTAATTGATAATAATGTATGAATTTGTAATAATGAACGATAAGGTTTGCAGTGTTTGTGGCGATCGAGCCATTGGTATGTATTAATGCATTATATTTATCAATATTTAAATATACGGATACATAATAGGTTATAATTTCGGTGCCCTTACGTGTGAGTCCTGTCGATCATTCTTCAGGAGAAATGGTACACGTGTTGAGGTATATATAATTACCAACATGTAAAATATAATTTACTAACCCATATGTTTGGTCAGGACTTTGGCTGCATTTATGGCAAAAACTGTGAGATAAATGTTTTCAGTAGGAAATTATGTTTTTTCACATCTTAATTATTTACAAAACGGCAGCCATACTTTTTACACTCTGTTAAAATACCGTTAAACAAAATTTACTAACCTAATTTGTAAATAAAACAAGTTACTAATCTCTGCACAACAAGGGAAAAATGAAGAACTATTAAGTGATGATAACTCTATGGATTTGGTTATAACTGACAGCACATTAGATATAAACACTGATTCCTCAAATGATTTGATTGAGATTAACAATAATAACACAAATACCGGCATTTCGTCTGTTATCAAAGGCTTTATATTCAACTTCAATGAGTTAGAGATTAACAGATTTAAGGAGTTATTCAATTCAGTGGCTGTCGTTAGAGACCCGACGGTTAGGACCATAGCGTATGAGACGGTGAATGTGTTGAAAGCGTTTCAAATTTTGAACAGTAGGGCTGAATTCAAATTCACACAAATGGTTAAAATGTCGGCAAATATTAATGGATTTAAAAAGTTGTGCGAAAACGACCAAATTGTGCTCTTGAAGGCCGCCTGTCCTCAGCTCATGTTTTTGCTAAATATCACTGATTATGCCTTCGATGACATGTATCTTACGATTCCCATTGTATGCCATTGTTTTACTTAATGTGGTGTTTAATATTCAATGACAAAAACCAAAAATATTATTATTTTAATCTATTTTAATGTCAATTTTTAGGATGAAAAGAGAGCAACGATTTTGCGGATGAGTGTAATGATGACATGGAGTGAAATTGTGGCTGAGATTCATAAGAAATTTCTCTTTAGTTTGAGAGATGAATACAATAATGATATAAATTTAATTGATTTGGTATTATTTCTTGCAATATATTCATATTATATAACTTATAAATTGTTTGTTCAAACTTTATAGCTAACATCGATTGTACTTTTTAACCCTGATTTACCAAATCTTAGTCATAAACACAGTGTAATGTAAGTGTAATTTTATTAAATTATATTTGCACCCACTTCAGAACCTTTATGAGCAATAATTTGCTAAAGCATAGACACCTTGCTCATATTACCTATCCAGTCATATTTGAATTAATAAGACTCTGAATGTTTATTTTGGTGTGACTGAACCACATATTAGGGATTTACCAGTTAAGAATTATTTACAATATCAAACCCAACATCAAATTCACCAATTATACCACTAACCCATCAAAAGTGGATACAGTATGACATTATATTTGCTGATTATGTATCACAAATAAGTAATAAGTTTACAAATGTAAATCAATATAATATATTGATATTATTTTCTAAATTATATTTATACACATGCTTATTATTACACAATACATTTGATAATAGATTTACACAATAATAACATTTTGAATTCAAATATTACTACAACTTGACCCAAATTATATATAAATTTCATGTAAAATGTTTATTTAACACAAAACTTATATCAAATTGTTATCATAAGAAAAATACCAGTTTTTAATGAAATAGACTATTAATTCCCTCTAATATTAATAAATTACACCACATTTAGATAATTTAATTCAAAGTGTACTGAATTTTAATTAAATAATTACTCTAAAAAACAAACTTTTGAAATGCTATTTTGACAATTAATGCCATAAAAATAGTCTATAAAAGTCATTGAAATCAGAAATTAACATTTAACTTAAAGCGTTTAATTTTGTTAATCACTATTTATATCGCCTATAAATGCATTATAAGTTTTAATAAAATGTAATTATCATATTCATTAATAAATATTGTTTGATTACTATGTTTTTAAATTAAATTTAAGCATTTTAGTAAAACTGAATTTTGGCTGAAATTATAATAACTGTATAAAATGCAATAAAATCATAGATATAGAGACCGTAATAAATAAATACTTTAATAAATATTTTAAATTCATGTTTATATCAAACATAAATTGTTAGCAAACTATTTATATCATTTATATGATGGTTAAAATGTCTATAATTATAGTTATCGATATAAAAATAATAGTTTATAACATAAATTTGTAATAAATATTAATAATTAACTAATTTTTGTAATAAAAATCTCAAATCTGGCGCTAAAGCCATGCATTACTTATTGTGTTATTCATTGCCATAAATAACGTAATGAAAGGGTCTCTCAATTGCATGTGTTTTGCGCCAAAGTTTTAACCATTGATTGAATCAATCAATTGATCCATTGATTCATATTTTGTGATCATCTCTTGTTTTGTGACACAAGTGACTGAAGAGGACGATATCTCCTGCCATGGATTCGCTGGACGTTAAAATGTTTGCCACCAAAACCAAAGACATGAAAGTAGTGTTTGAAATGAGACATGAGATCAACGTCTCGAGAGAGTGTCTCAAGACATCTGATCTCGTAATCAACAGACAATCCAAAGCTATCGAAAGGCTTACAGAAGCTCTGGAGTTGAGTGTCGATCAGATCCCGATGTTTAAGACAGTGCTTGGATTAATCAAAGATCTCGAAGAATCGACACAACGAGATAAAGACCATTTGCAGACATTGATGGCATCACTCGTTGAGACAAACCTTCAGAAAGTGGATGAACTGATCGGCGGTCGGAGACAATGCGCGGCGACGAGTGATCAATGCGTTCAAATCGAAGAGGAATGCGAAGAGTCGGTGGATATGGTTGGAAAGTCTGAGCCAATGATTGACACAATCGGTGTCCAGAGTTTCGATGCCGAGTACGAGCCGACTGTTAAGACTGAGTCTACGGGCGATTGTGTGGACAGAGAGAGCGAAACGGTTGAGTCGAACAACTCGTGCGTAACCATAGACTCCGAGACCAGCGATTCCGAGACCGAAGTGACAGCAAAGACATCCAACTGTGGCGGCTGTCAAACGCCGGGATCTGAGCGCAAAATTGTGACCACAAATGAGACACCGATTGATGGCTCGATGGCGACGACGAGTGCCCACACAATTCAGTGGCGGCGAGTTGTGTCCACCTCTGGTAACCAAAACACAATACCGATGTACGCGTGTCATTGGCCGAAGTGCACGTATACGACAAAACATAGTTATCATATGAAGTCTCACATAAACGCCCACAAGAAAGTGAAGCCATACGTGTGCCAGAACTCCGGCTGTCAGTATAGGACCGGTAATTCATCGCATCTCAAACGACACCAACGCTGTCACCAAAAGGATCCCAATTATAGACTCCATTCGTTTCCCATTCACATCGAGTCCAGCGATTCCGAGAGCGAAGTGACCGCAAACTCGGCCGGAGTCGGCACAAGCGGTACCCATAGCCGCCGTCAAACACAGGGCAGCGGCTGTTCTGAACGAAAATGTTTGACTACAAATGGGACACCGATTAAGCGCTCGATGGCGACCACGAGTGCCCACCGAAGTGAACGTCCGCTCCATCGACGAGAAGTGGTGTCGGCCGGCCGTAAGCCAGCAAAACGGTACGCGTGTGAGCGCCCGGACTGCGGGCATACGACCAGCGATCGGAAAGATATGACTGATCACGTGAATCGCCACAACAATGTGAGGCCATTCGGGTGTGACGAGTGTGAGTATAGGGCCGTCCATTCAGGCGATCTCAATAAACACAAACGCCGGCACCAAAACAATCCCAATTTCCGACCCTATTCTCGATTATTCTCCCGTTTGGCCACAGATTGAAGTGTTGTCACAAATTAATGTTTTTTATTCCTCCCGAGCGACTGATTATCACTTATCTTAATGTTTGTTTGATTTTTAATTTCATGTAATTCTAATGCATTTTTATCTCGATTATAATTTAAAATATAAATTAATTTTTTAACTAAAGTAATTATTGTATTCTTATAATTTTGACTAATTATTTGTTTTGTAAAACTTTCTCATTTAAAAAATAATTAAATTAAAGTTATATTTTAATCATAATGCGGTAATAATAACCATGATCAATTCAATGCTTTTATATCGAAAATCTCTTTTACAAGCGGTTCCAAACGCAAGGGAAGACTCATTGAATTTGCGAATAGTTTGCGATATAATTGGTTTAATTCATACAATACTTGCAAACAATTCATTAAACGCCCGAAACGTGTCTCCGATTCTGACTTTGAATTGTATTTAATCTCTAAATAGCGTTGAAGTAAATACATGTATGTCTTCCGTTGAAAACTTAAACAATAAATTGTAATCAATTTAAATATTATTATTAATTAACAACTATTAATAATGCTTACATAACGCTGTGTTTGTGAACAAAATTTAATTGATCTGGATCAAATAGTATAATTGCTGTTAACTATAAAATGTAATTAAATAATTTATATTAATTAAATAAAATACTGATAAATATAACTGAAAAATTATTTGTAATGTTAAATACCAAATAAATTAAATTCATGTCATTATTGTATTCATCTCTCAAACAATAGAGAAATTTCTTATGAATTTGAACCACTGTTTCACTCCAACCCGTTATAGCATTCATTTGTATTAGAGTTGCCTTCTCTTCGTCCTAAAAATGTAATCAAATTAATATAACTTTTGTCAACAAATATCTATAATTTATTAAATATAATAAATATATTCATTTTAATAACCAGTTTTTACAGCATCTTTAATCATAATTATTATTTAAATTTAGCACAAATTTTAATAATAATAATAAGACATACGATAGGAATAGTCCAGAACTCGCCGTTGAAATTAAAAATTATAATACTCTGTAAAATCGTGAGCTGAGGACAGGCGGCCTTTAAAAGGACAATCTTGTCGTCTTCGCACAAATCATTGAATCCACTAATTTTTAGCGACATTTTAACCATTCGTGAAAACATGACATCCGCTCCGTTGAGCAACAACTCGAGCGCTTCCCTAACATTCACCGTCTCATACGCTATGGATCTCACACTCGGGTTCCTAACGACAGCCACTGAATTGAATAACTCTTTAAATCTGTTAATCTCTAACTCATTGAAGTTGAATATTAATCCTCTAATAAGTGACGGTATAATTGCATTAGTTTTGTTGGTCTCATCGAAATTCATTGAATCTTTAGTGGAAATTAGTTTAGATTTTTTGCAAACACTTGTCCTCTAATAATACAATGTATAACAAATTAATTATCAATATTGTGACCGAAAAAATAATTAAAATGTTATATTTTCGCACATTTTTCATACCGATGGCCAAACATTTTTGAATTCTACATTTTTTGCAACATTTTCTGGTAAAACGAGTTATTTCACAATTGTTACCATAAAAACAGTCAAATTCCTAAACAAATATATTAGTTATAAATTAACAATTATTTCATTTACAAATTTAAACCTCAACTCGATTTTCATTGCGACGGAAAAATGACCTACACGACTCACACGTTATGATACCAAAGTTACTACCTATTTATTTGTCAGGGTAATTATTAATTAATTAAATACTTTATTTAGTCTATGCCATAAACTAAATTAATGTACGTACTAATGGCCCGATCGCCACAAACAATACAGATCATTTTGTTCAAACATTTAACATTCATAATTTATTAATACACATCCAAACTTCCCGACTATTATCGCAACAAATATTAAAAGTTAACTCAAAAGGCTTATAATATTTAAACTTTTATTTTTAATTTACACAAGTTTCATATATTTTAAGTATATTTGCTATACTGTACTGTATATCCCATTTAACATTACTATAATTAATTAATTAATGTTTTTATATTTGAACATATCTTTACACAACATTACATTTATGACAATATAATTAATAATCAATAATAAGTGTTTCGTTTAAATGAAACAAGTGTTTACCAAAAACAGCCAATAATTTATAAATAATAAAAAGTGCTCATTTTAGATAACAAATATCGAACAGTATATCATGATTACAATAGTTTACACAAATTATACAAATAATTATAACTTATAATTTATAAGTATTAAAAGTATGATTAGTTTTATTCTGTAATTTCATATATCTCTTGTACCAGTGGTGCCACTCGTACGGTAAGAACCATAGATTTGACGTATTGTTTGCGATGTAAATCATTTAATTCATACATTATTTGCAAACAATTCATTAAACTTCTGAAATGTGTCTCCGATTCTGACTTTGAATTGTGTTTAATCTCTAAATAGCGTTGAAGTAAATACATGTATGTCTGCTGTTGTAGTCTATAAGACAATTAATAAATTAAAAAATAAACATACAATTTAATTATACTTACATTACACTTTGTTTATGAACCAGATTTGATTGATGTGGATTAAACAAAACAATTCCCATTAACTATAACATAAGTCAAATAATTTAAAATTAATTTGCATAATAACATATAAATTATAGTATAATATGGTTTAGTTACTATAAATATAGTGTTAACATAAGTGAAGAATATATTTTGTATTTAAAGAAAACATAAAGCTGGTGATAAAGTGAGGTGCAGAACTCTTGTGAGTAGCCATTATAGCAACGGTTCTCTTCGTCCTAACAATTTGTGATCAAAAATATTTGTGTTAATAATTAGTTCATAATTTATGTTAAAGTTTAATGATTTATAAATTTTATGCTTAGTATTTGAAAATTTATAATTAGAAAATATGTGAAAATAACTTTATATTTACTGTATGTTACCCTTAGCAGGTCTTGACCGGGAGCTTCAGCTTATCATATTGTGAGTCGTTTTAGTACTCGACTCCTGTCCGGCAGAAGTCCTCACGTTAGAACAGCAGAAGCGTGTTGAGTAAGAATCCATTAATTTTTGAACACATTTTAACCATTCGTAAAAACTTTTGATTTGTCCGATTGTGTAACAACTGAATCGCATCCGAAACACACTTTACTTCATAGGCTACGGCCCTAACAGTGGGGTCTTTAATGACAGCCACTGAACTGAATAACTCCTTACATCTGTTAATCTCTAATTCATTGAAATTAAATATAAACCCTTTGATAACTGACGGTATTTTGCGCCCAATTTCGTTAATCTCATCCAAAATATTTGAAGATATTGTTTCAAAATCTAATAGACTTTGAGATTCATCACCACATAATCGTCTGTGCCTTTTGTGTACAATTGCAGAATCAGATACCAACTAATTTATTAACAACGAGTTAATTTTATTAAGTTTATAATTAAGTTAATAATATACTGTATATTGTAAAAAATAATAACAATAAATTCACTCACATTTTTCATACCGATGGCAAAACATTTGTTAAGTCGACACCTTTTGCAGAATCTTCGGGTCAAACGGTTTATCTCACAATTTTTGTCGAAATAACATTCAATTTCCTAAACAAACTTAATGTTATTAAACTAAACATCAATTTATAAACAAGTATACAAACCTCAACCCGACTGCAATTGCGGCGGAAGAATGATCGACACGACTCACACGTTAGGGCATCAAAGTTATAGCCTATTAATGGTAGTATATTTAATTAATAATAAATTATATATAACCTATATTAATATACTGTACATACCAATGGCCCGATCACCACAAACGCGACAAACCTTATTTTTCATTATTCTAAATTACTAGTGAGATAATTATTAGTTTATAACTCTCTTGGTACAATTTTACATTAAAGTACAGTAGTATTTATGTGAATGAGCATATACTTTAGCGCATTCACCATTTAATTTTATACTACTGTAACTAAAAAATATTTTCCTTTACAAGACAATTAAAATAATATTAATTTGAATTACTAATAATTGTCTTCAATCAATAGAAACCACCACTAGAAATGACCATGAAATTGCACATGCTATATTTAGTAATAATAAATATAATTTTTGATCAATTCATTGATTAATTGAATAATCAATTGAGAGAGAGAGAGAGAGAGAGAGATAATGGGAATCGTCCAGAACTGGCCCTCGAAGTCGAATAGTATAACACTCAGCAAAATCATGAGCTGAGAGAGAGAGAGAGAACTATGGCATTTATATTACCTGTAATACACTATGTTTATAAGTACAGGTGTGTGTTTGTATATTATTACAAATCTATTAAATAATACAGTATAGTATAAATAACTTACTTGTGCTGTATAACAATTATTGCTATATTCTGTATAATAAATATAAGACTACAGTATTGGTATGTTTAGTATTTTTAAAGATATAAATAAAAATTATTAAAAATGTAATTATATTTATTATAATTAGATAATTATACAATTATATTATATATAATCATGATCATTTAAAATATTTATTTCGTAGACCTCTTGTACAAGAGGTGATACACGTATGGGAAGAATATCCTTTGTAATCGAGTTTGCAAATTGTTTGCGAAATAATTGATTGAATTCATTCAATACTTGCAAACTATTCATTAATCGCACAAAACGTATCTCCGATTCTGACTTTGAGTTGTATTTAATTTCTAAATACCGTTGAATTAAATACATGTATGTCTTCTGTTGGAGTCTATTAAACAATAAATAATTAATACCAAAATTAAATATTAATATAATTTTTCTAAAAATTATTCTCACTGTTTTTAGAAATCAGATTTGATACTTCAGAGTTAAATAATACAATCGCTGTTAACTATAGTAATTTACAATATTAAGTATTAAATAATTTAAGTTGTATTGATTTTATCATTACATTCATTACTTATTTTCTTAATTAAAGAATATATATTAATTGATTGCAAAATTTATTTTATTTACAATAAACTGAGTTTGAATTGTGATTGAAATGGACTGTCGTTTTGAAACATAAATCAATCAAACAATTACAACAATAATCGATATCGAAGAGTATTGATATGGCCCACAATCACATGTCCATTCATTGAGAGGTCCAAGTCGTCCATTCTTTGGATCAGTTGTCTCTTCACGATTGGCAACAAATCCAATCGCAATACTCGCTGCCTATTGTCGAGTGAAAACGTGATGAAATGGATCAGCTCTTCGATGAAATATTTGCTTTTTGAATCAATATACAGCTGATCCACGTCTGCAAACAGTGCCAATACATGTCTTGTGATGCGATAATTAAAGATATTTCGAAACATAATGTGTTTTAAATTCGGCAGTTTTGATACCAAATCCATACACCGATAGAAACACTCATCGCAATCGTCTCCGTGTTTACACTCCGACCGATAACACATGAAATCGACAGTCAATTGGCGGACATTCGGGAAGATTTGGGCTAAATTTATCCACCGATTCGGTGAACACTTGAGTCGCTGCAGCGATAGTGTCTTCAACGACACCATTGGCGGCATATATTTGGCCATCGATTGGGTGTCAAAACACATCCAATGGGTTTTCCCGTAAGTGCGCCAATCGCTGGATCCGATGTGTAGTGATTGTAAATCCTTTAGTTTTGTCACACTTTCGGCAAATTCTTTGGCAGAAATGTCGACCAAATTTGTTCTTAAATACTGAAGTGCTTTGAGTCGATCGCAAATCATTGCGAACCACTGTTTCCAGAGATGAATCTCTAAGGCGTGAGTTGAAGGCGCGAAACACTCATAAATGTATAGTTTCTTCAATTGTGTGCATTTACTTGTGATCACATCCATCGCCTGACTGTCCGCTGGAGTCACACCGATGTGTAGGCATTGGATGTTTGCCGGCAAACAATCAATCAGTACTGATAGACTGAAAGGGTATGACTCACACATACGATAAGCATTTATACTTTGAAGTGACGGCAAGTGTGCGATAATATCCATGAAAAATGGCACACAATTTCGTTTCACATTTCCGATGGATATGTGTTTGACTTTTAACAGAAGTTCTATCCATTCGGCGATTGTCTGATCACTTGAGCGATAGATATCGATGTCCGCAATGTTAAGGCTCTGCAGTTGTGGCCACTGTTTGACGATCAGCTCTAATGTCTTGAAACTGATTACAATTCTGGACAGATATAACTTCTTTACGCCACGGAATTGATGGACAATAGGCTCTATGTTTTGGTGTCGGTTGTGATCTAATACCATATCATTGCCCACCAAAGAGATCGCTTGTGTGATATCAATGCGCTTCCAATCTCTGGCTTCAAAGCTCTGTATGAACGGAGAACTCGGGTTCATATCATTGAATCCAATGCTCACGTCTTTCTTCTCCAGCAGTACTTCTTGTGAACAATCCCTGAATTGTTGTGACACTCGTTGCAAACCAAACAAGTCTTTGATATCTAAATACTTGAATATAAGGCCCAGAATGTCATCATTCATGACATCACTTCTCTGGCCATTCATTTCATTCATATCTTTGCCTTTAATTTCTTTAAAACTTCTTCATATTCTTTGAATACTTTTCAAAAAATGTCTAAATTTATGAATTGTATTAAAAATCCTTAATTGAATTAACGGTTAGAATTGTTTTAAAATATTTTAAATTTATATTATTGTTATAAAACGCGTGAAATTTTTATTTCCACAAAAAGACTCGATATTTATGAAAATATTGTTGATATAAATTATTTCAGTAATCATTAAACGGCGGAATAAAAGGTGATAAAAATATTTTAATTGTTGTAATTTTCATAAAATGCGAGACTAGTGTTTGCAAAGGAACTAATAATTAAACCCGATTTTATGTTCGGTTTGAATGAAAATCTAATAGAAAATCATTAAATTTTTAAGAATCTTTAATTTTAGGCATTTTATTAATTAAAGGGTTTTATAACAAACAAATGTTCCTTTCATTATATTCTCAAACATATAAATCGGGTCCTATAAACCACATTATTTATATCAGAATAGTGGTTAAAAATTTAATCATATTTATTATAATTAGATAATTATACAATTATATTATATATAATCATGATCATTTAAAATATTTATTTCGTAGACCTCTTGTACAAGAGGTGATACACGTATGGGAAGAATATCCTTTGTAATAGAGTTTGCAAATTGTTTGCGAAATAATTGATTGCATTCATACAAGACTTGCAAACTATTCATTAATCGCACAAAACGTGTCTCCGATTCTGACTTTGAATTGTATTTAATTTCTAAATACCGTTGAATTAAATACATGTATGCATTTTGTTGGAGTCTATTAAACAATAAATAATTAATATCAATATTAAATATTAATACAATTTTTCTAAAAATTATTCTCACATTACACTGTATTTAGAAACCAGATTTGGTACTTCAGGGTTAAATAATACAATCGCTATTAACTACAGTATAGTATTTAATAAATAATTTAGGATTATTTAACAAAATAGTAATTGAATAAAATTATACCAAATCAATAATATTTAAATCACAATTGTATTCATCTCTCAAACTAAACATAAATTTCTTTTGCATTTCGACCACAATATCACTCCAACCCATCCAAACGCTTAGCCTTAAAATTGATGCCTTTTCATCATTCTATCAAATATGCAATCAATATGTGTTAAATAAATGTCTTTGACTATGGTCAATTAATTTTAAAATAAAATTTTTATATAATAATGGCATACAATAGGAATCGTCCAGAACTGGCCCTCGAAGTCGAAAAGTATAATACTCTCCAAAAGCATGAGCTGAGGACAGGCGGCCTTAAAGAGCACTGACTTGTCGTTTTCGCACAACTCATTGAATCCATTAATCCTTTCCGACATTTTAATCATTTGCGGAAACTTACGGTCAGACCTATTATGCAACACATGGAGTGCATCCGAAACACACTCTGTCTCATACACTACTGTCCTAACCCTCTGGTGTCTAACAGTGGCCACTGAACTAAATAACTCCTTAAGTCTATTAATCTCTAACTCATTGAAGTTGAATATAAACTGTTTGATAACCGACGGTATATTGTGTGACATTTTGTTGCTCTCATTCATAACATTTGAGGCGTCAATATTCATAACTAATTGTCTGTGAGTTATATCCAAATCATTTGGTTGTTTATCAGATAATCGTTTAATCCTTTTGTGAACCGATGTTTTCTAATTAATTAACAATAAAATCATAATTAATGTAAAGAAATTGAAAAAAGCCTTACATTTTTCATTCCGACGGTAAAACACTTCTCAAGTCTACACTTTTTGCAGAATTTTCTCGTCAAACAATTTATGGCACAATTGTCACCAAAAAAGCACTCAAATTCCTAACAAAACATATTCATAATAAACCATTTAATAGACATTTATATACCTCAAGACGTGTGGAATTGCGGCGAAAGAATGACCGACAGGACTCACACGTTAGGGCACCGAAGTTATAGCCTAATCATATTTTATAATTAATTAATTGAATGTCAACCAAATGAAAACACAAACATACCAACACTGAAATCTCCACAAATGCAACAAATCTTTTCATTCATTATTACAATTTACAAACAATTTTATGCAATGTTTATTCTTAATTAATAAATGATGTTATAATTTATCATGCATAAAATTCTGATATATTTATAATTAATAAATTACAATTAAAAACAATATTATTTATAAAAATGCTTACAATAATTATTAAACTCTGATTAAAAAAATAAAAATACAAAAGCAATTTCTAAGAATTACATATTTACAATGTTGTTGAAGCAATTCTTGAGTGATTAAGAGAGAGAGAGAGAGAGAGAGAGAGAGAGAGAGAGCGAATTTATATTAAGTTTTTAACGGTCATATATAAACACTGTATATATACGAGTAAAAATAATGTACTGTATATAATAGATAACGGTCGTATATAAGTACAGGTAATTAATGTACTCTATTTATAGATAATTAATTTTTATACAAATAAGAGACAGAAAGATATTGTAAGTGAAAACATATCAGACCTCGTAATGCCTTCTAATTGTATTTCATTATAATTTATTATTTCCTAATGTTTTCAATTAAAAGTTATTGCTTTCGGAGGGGTTTCCTATCAAGAGGTTTAATAATTATATGTCTCTATAATTTTATATCAAACACCACTTGTAAGAGTGTTTTGTATACAACAATGTAGTAAGAATCATAAATTTTGCTAATTATTTGCGATATAATTATTTTGTTTGATATAACATTTGCAAACAATTCATAAAACTCCCGATTCATGTCTCCGATTCTGACTTCAAGTCGAGTTCGTATGAGTGGAAACATATTTATCTAAAACACAATTAATTCATCAATTATTACTACACTTAAGATATTAGATATTATTCTTCTTATAATTAATATTCTTTAGATATTAGGAAAAATGGTAACCTTTTGTATGTGAAACAGAATATTTACAATTTATTATTTACAAAGTTATAATTTTTATCAAATATGTTCAACATTAGGCTAATATAATTTATATTATTGATGAAATAAGTGAAGTGTGCAGTAAATGCGCTTGATAGAAATTGTCCTTTTATTATAATAATAATAATACCTGTTAATAATAATCTCGTTTTGTTTCATTTAAACTGCAGAGAGCGTAATGTAGAATATATATTATAAATTGGTTATATTTTATAATTAACATGTTTATGTATGATATACAGAATATTCATAAATAAATATAAATGATCAATGATCAATTCATTGCTTTTATTTCACATATCTCTTGGACAAGAGGTGCGATACGTGTGGGAAGTGTTTGAGTATTTGCCAGATGTTCGCGAAATACTCGGCTTAAGTCACGTAACACTTGCAGACAATTCATAAAACTCCCGAAACGTGTCTCCGATTCTGACTTCGAGTTGTGTGTAATCTCTAAATAGCGTTGAAGTAAATACATGTATGTTTTCTGTTGGAGTCTATTAATTAATTAATTAATTATAACAAAATTAAATAGAATTTTAATCTAATTGTACTCACATTACACTTTGTTTATGAATCAGATTTGGTACATCTGGATTAAATAGTACAATCGCTGTTAACTGTAGGATTTAATTAAACAATTCATAATTTAGTTACATTTATAAATGTATATTGTAATAAAAAAAATAAATACCAAATCAATTAAATTAATGTCATTATTGTATTCATCTCTCAAACTAAACAAAAATTTCTCGTGTATTTCGCCCACAATTTTACTCCATGTCGTCATAAGACTTAATCGTATTATAGTTGCCTTTTCTTCGTCCTAACAAATAGTATTCAAATTAAATATTTTGAAAAATCACTTTAAATACAATAATAGCATACAATGGGAATCCTGAAGAACATGCCATCGAAGGCAAAATCAGTGATATTTAGCAAAAACATGAGTTGAGGACAGGCGGCCTTCAGGAGCGCAATCTTGTCGTCTTCGCACAACTGTTTGAATCCATTAATATTTGACGACATTTTAACCATTTGTGTAAACTTGAAATGAATCCTATTCTGCATCATCTGAAGCGCTTCCGACACACTCTCCGTCTCAAAAGCTATGGCCCTAATTGTCTGGTCTCTAACGACTGTCACTGAATTAAACAACTCTTTGAATCGTTTCATTTCTAACNCCGTCTCAAAAGCTATGGCCCTAATTGTCTGGTCTCTAACGACTGTCACTGAATTAAACAACTCTTTGAATCGTTTCATTTCTAACTCATTGAAGTTGAATATAAAGCCTTTGATAACCGATGGTATTTTGTTATCGATGTTCTCGACAGCCATCAAACTATTACGCTCTTTGTCCACATTATTAAGCTGTCCATCACGTGATAATTCATCACTCTTGGGATCAGTTTTCTAATGAGTACCAAAAATATTATAAATATTGTAAATTGAAAAAAATATTAACAAAAGTTTCGTACAATTTTCATACCGACGGTAAAACACTTATCAATTCTGCACTTTTTGCAGAATTTTCGGGTCAAACGACTTATATTACAATTGTTGCCAAAAACGCACACATATTGCTGTAGAAAACGTATTGTTAGTAAACTAATCATCATTTCATAAACAATTATATACCTCAACATATGGGGCATTGCGGCGGAAAAATGAGCGACAAGGCTCACAAGTTGGAACATCAAAGTTATAGCCTAGATTTATACGTCCGGGTATTCAATTATTAATAAATTAATTGGCAATTAAATTACTATACATACCGACTGCCCGATCACCGCAAACACTGCAATACATATCATTCATTATTAGAAATTTATACATTATTATAATTTATTTAACGTAAAATACAATTGTCTTCACAATCATTATCACAAAAAGTCTTTATTATTATTATTATTTTAAAGATATTAAATTAAATTAAATTCGATTTTAAAAATAAAATCCTACTTTTATTATAATAAAAGTTTGATTTTAAGTTAATCTTAAATCATGAAAATATAGGCACATATTTTAAACATATTTAAAATCATTATAAATAATTAATTCATATTTTCTGAAGGATAACTATTTTCATTTAAATGTCAACAATATGTTTGAAACAAAATAATTTACGAATAATCAATAAAAGTGTTTTTTTCCTTCAGTGGAAACAAGTGTTAACTAAAATAACAATCAATTGTTGAATAAATGTATATTTGATAATAAACCTGAAAATAAACACATCAAACACTTTATCACATATAAGATTTTTAATCACTACTTAAAGAATATAAAAATTGGTTCATTTGTAAAGATTACTTTTTAAGGACTTGCATAAAATGCACTTAAATGTGATTATACTTCAGTACAAGACTATGACGTCTATATCTTAAATTATATACAGTATTTTACAATACCTTTATACATACAATAAAATAACACAACAAAGTAACCATGAACATTTAATCATTTATTTGCCATTAATTAAATCCTTATTGTTATAATCTGCACAAATAAAAGTATTTAACAATATAAAATAAAGATAGCAGGAACATACTTTTATAAAATGACACATGTTGTTTAAAATATTAAAACTTTTATTATTGATAAGAAAATAATAATATTTAATTAACGACATCATTAATTCCATCTATTATTAACAATTGCATAAAATTAGATAAGTATTACGAACTATGTACAATTGGTCAAGGTATAATTGGAGTAGTTTTATGGCAAATTCAAAACCACCCAAGTTAATTTATAATTATATTTTAACATTTTATAAATAGAACTAAAATAGACCTATGTGTTAATTTTGATATTAATATTAGCCATTCTTATAGACTTAAACAAAAATTTATTAAATAAATTCTTAATAAATATATTGATGAAGCATTTTCATTGACAGTAAAAATTATATAATAATAATCAATACAATTAATTCAATCCTTTTATTTCATAAATCTCTTGTACAAGAGGTGCCACATGTATAGCAATATTAACAGAACTAATGAATAGTTTGCGAAATATTCCGCTTAATTCATACAATACTTGCAAACAATTCATTAATCGCACAAATCGTGTCTCCGATTCTGTCTTTGAGTTGTGTTTAATCTCTAAATACCGTTGAAGTAAATACATGTATGTCTTCTGTTGTAATCTATTAATTAATTAATTAATTAAATTGAATTTTTAAAACGTTCATTTAATTTATAATAAAACGCATACATTATATTATCTCTATGAACGAGATTCGGTAGATTGGGATTAAATAATACAACCGCTATTAACTGCAATAATTAATTAAATAAGTTATTAGATATTTCTATTTAATTACACAGATTTAAAGGAATACCAAATCAATTAAATTCATGTCATTATTGTATTCATCTCTTAACCAATACAGGAATTTCATGTGAATTTCTACCATTAATTCACTCCATTTCATTAAAACACTGGTTCGCAATAACGTTGCCTTCTCTTCCCCCTAAACATTGAAACAAAGATATAATTTTTTTAACAATGAATTCATAAATTATGGTAAATCTATTTTTAAGTTTATTTATCAGGTTCTCACAAAAATATCACAAAATGTTAGTATACTTTAAGTATAATAATGATAGCATACAATTGGAAGTGTCCAGAACTGGCCCTCAAAGTCGAAATGAAATATACTCTGCAAAAGCATGAGCTGAGGACAGGCCGTCTTCAGGAGCGCAATCTTGTCGTCTTCGCACAACTCTTTGAATCCATTAATATTAGCCGACATTTTGACAATTCTGGGAAAGTTAAGATCCGCTCCGTTTTGCAACACTTGAATCGCGTCCGAAACACAGACCGTCTCATAGGCTATGGTTTTAATCGGCGGGTCTCTAACCACAGCCACTGAACTAAACAACTCCTTTAAAACTTTAATCTCGTTGTCATTTAAGTTAAATATAAATCCCCTGAAAACGGATGGAATTTTATTATCATTTCTTTTACTCGGAATCAAAGCATTTGACGATTTATATAATAAATCTTCATTGAAATCAATATCCTTTGATTGTTTCAATGATAAGAGTCGACCACTTTTAGCAACAATTGTTTTCTATGAAAATCCCAAATTAACCATTAATTGTAATAATAAAGTAAAATGTATCAAATTGTCTTACATTTTTCATACCAACGGCAAAACATCGATTAAGTCTACATCTCTTACAGAATTTTCGTGTCAAACGATTTATCACACAATTGTCACCAAAAAAACACTCAAAATCCTGACCAAAAATATTATATTAATCATAATTTAATTGGCAATTATATACCTCAATACGTGTATAATTCCTACGAAAGAATGACCGACATGACTCGCACGTTAGGGCATCAAAGTTATAGCCTATGTTTATAAAGGTGTACATGTTATTTATTACTTACTTACCTTACATACATGTTATTTATTACTAATAAATTAAATATCAATATTACAATACATACCGACGGCTCGATCGCCGCAAACGCTACATATTTTATTGTTCATTATTACAAACATATAATTTATTATAATATATTTCATACACAAAACAACTGTATTTGAAATTATTATTACAACAAACAATTTTTCCTATAAATTTTCAGTTACTATTTTAATTGCATGATTTTTAAGCACAAATATAATGATTATTAAAATTAATTAATTAAAATTATCTATTAAGATTTATTTTAAAACTATTTTACAAATTATTAATAAACCTTAACTTTAAAATAAATAAAACTTCTAGAACATACAGTATTTAATTAATTCAAAATGTACGGTATATATTTTAAACACACAGCTTAATCATTAATATAATTTATTGATAATTTTATTAAAGCTTATGTTCAATTCACAAAACATGTGATTTAATATTATTTTAGATAAGTTATAATTTATAATAAATGTTTGGTAAAAACAAGTGTTTACTAAAATAACAATCTATGTTTTTATATTATATTTTAATCTACTATGTATTTTCTTTTAATCAATAAATAGTTACTTAAACAGAAAGAAACACAATGAAAGAGAGAGAGAGAGATAGAGAGAGAGAGAGGCGTTTGCATCATTAGATTCAATTTACATAAGGAAATAGATAGGGAAATTTACATAATATTAAATTTGCATAAAGATAATAAGTTAAGGTTTTTATAATTAGCATATATGGTAAAATTGTACTAATATATTGTATACTAATAATTTAATATGTAACACAATGTACGTGTAAACCTATATCATGGTATTTTATTCAAAGAACATTTATATAATAGTAAATATGTGCATGATCATTTCACTGCTTTATTTCGTAGATTTCTTGAACAAGAGGTGTCACATGTTTGGGGAGAATAGAGTTTACAAATAGTTGACGGAATATTTCATTTAATTCTTTAAACACTTGCAAACAATTCATTAAACGCCCGAAATGTGTCTCCGATTCTGACTTTGAGTTGTGTTTAATCTCTAAATAGCGTTGAAGTAAATACATGTATGTCTTCTGTTGAAGTCTATAACACAATATAAAAATTTAAAATTATTCTAATATAATAATACTTACATAACATTATGTCTATGCGTAAGATTTGGTAGATTTGGATTAAATAGTACGATAGCTGTTAACTATCAAAAATAATAAATTGTTTTACTTAACAATAATATTATAGATAAAAGTAATAATACCAAATCTATTAAATTAATGTCATTATTGTATTCATCTTTCATATTACACAAGAATTTCTTATGGATTTGAACCACTGTTTTACTCCATGTCATCAAAACATTCATTTGTATTATAGTTGCCTTCTCTTCGTTCTAATAATTAATTTTTAAAAAATATTATATTTTTAGCAATTTTGTTGTCAAACGATATTTTACGGTAATTCATAATTGTGTTAAAATCGTAATTGTTTCATAGTATATAAATATCATTAACTTTAATATTTTATACCAACATCGGTCATTTTATGATCTAACATAAGTATAACAATGGCATACAATGGGAATCCTGAAGAACATGCCATTAAAGACAAATTCTGTGATATTTAACAAAAGCCAGAGATGAGGAAAGCCATCCTTCAAGAGCACAATCTTGTCGTCTTCGCACAACTCATTGAATCCACTAATATTTGCCGACATTTTAACCATTCGTGTAAACTTGAGATCAGCCCTGTTTTGCAATAACTGGATCACATCCGACACACTCTTTGTCTCATACGCTGTGGTCATAACTGTCGGGTCTCTAACAATAGCCACTGAATTGAATAACTCCTTAAATTTATTAATCTCTAACTCATTGAAATTGAATATTAATGCCCGGATAAGTGACGGTATTTTGCTATTTATATCACTTTTGCAAATCATATTTAAATCAATGAAACTTTTAGTAGTCATATCCAATAGACTCTGATCTCTATCCATGTGTTGTGAATCATTTAAGTTTGTGCGGCATTTCTTAACAATCATTGGCTAATTAAATAATATAATGATTATTAATATTTTGAACAAAACTTAAATTTCAATAAAAATAGCTCACATTTTTCATTCCGATGGCAAAACATTTGGCAATTCTACACTTTTTGCAGAATTTTCGGGTCAAACGAGTTATCACACAATTATCATCAAAATAGCAGATGAGTTGCTGACCAAACAAATGTATTAACCATCATTTAATAGACAATTATATAATTTACCTCAATTCGTGTTGCATTTCTACGAAAAAATGATCTACACGAGTCACACGTTAGGGCACCAAAATTAGTACCTATTTTATAAGTACGGGTTATATCATAATTTTTTATTATGAATATTAATAGAATAATTCCTAAATAAATTATTATACATACCCAGACATACATCACCGCAAACACTGCAAGTTTTATCATTCATTTTTAACAAATACAAAATTAATACCAATATTAATACACAATCTAATAGTTTGCACAACTATTAATCCAAAAACAATAATGAAAACAAACTCAACCAATTGAATAATTATTTTGAATACAATTTAGGCTAATATTACTTAATATCCTTACAATTAAATCTAATTTTACACAACAATGTATTTGAAAATATTACTCATGTTTAATCAAAATAGCAATCAATTCTCAAATAGTCAAATATTTGCTAACCATAAGTATATTTTAAAATAAATTAAATGAGAGAATGAGTGAGAGATTAAATGCTAAATATTTTAAAATATTGTATGTTGTGAAATCGAATTGAAAGATAAACACAAACACATCAAACACTTTATCATATATTTATATAAATATAAGATTTTTAATCACTTTAAAAGGATATAAAAATTGGTTCATTTCTAAAGATTACTTTTTAAGAACTTACATAAAATGCACTTAAATGTGATTATACTTCAGTACAAAACTATGACGTCTAAATCTTAAATTATGCATTTTACGATACCTTTACGCATACAATAAAATAAAACAACAAAATAACCATGAACATTCAATCATTTATTTGCCATTAATTAAATCATTACTGTTATAATCTGCACAAATAAAATTATTTAACAATATAAAATAAAGATAGAAGGAACATACTTTTATAAAATGACATACTGTATGTTGTTTAAAATATTAAAACTTTTATTATTTATAAGAAAATAATAATATTTAATTAACAACATCATTAATTCCATCTATTATTAACAATTGCATCAAATTAGATAAGTATTACGAACTATGTACAATTGGTCAAGGTATAATTGGAATAGTTTTATGGCAAATTCAAAACCACCGAAGTTAATTTATAATTATATTTTAACATTTTATAAATAGAACTAAAATACAATACACTCATATTCAGCTTCTAGTAATAATCACACCAAAAAGGACCTATGAGACTACCAATAATTAAGCCTAGCTGAAGGATTACTATTTGCAAATTCATACTTAATTTTAAATGCATGTATATGTGTGAATATAAATACACATAAGTGATAATAAATGTGAAAAAAAAGTTTCAAAAAAGTGACGAGACGGCGGCTTCGAACCCAGGGCCTTTAGAATTAGTACCCAACGCTCTACCAACTGAGCTATGGTGACAACGTTACATTTCTATCACTTAATAGTACTCTTTATAGATAAACTATTAATTTCAACATGCATGACTGTTTCCAAACATGACACATAGTCAAATATGTTTTTTTATTCAAGTAATGAATTGTATTGTGTCATTGTGTATGATTTTGAGATGTGATTTTGTGACTAAATTATTTTCTGCACCTCTGGGCAAATGACAAATTCAAGCACAAGTGCAGGATTAGTTTTAGGCATGTGCAACTTTCACACATTTTGCAGAATTAGATTCAGGAGTTTTTTTTTGTGAAGGATTATTAGTCAGCATTTCCTATTACAGTGTATGTGTTAATTTTGATATTAATATTAGCCATTCTTATAGAATTAAACAAACATTTATTAAACAAATTCTTGATAAATATGTTGATAAACCATTTTAATATTGACAGTAAAAATTATATTATAATAATCAATATAATGATTAATTCAATCCTTTTATTTCATAAATCTCTTGTACAAGAGGTGCCACATGTGTAGCAATATTAACAGAACTAATGAATAGTTCGCGAAATATTCCGTTTAATTCATACAATACTTGCAAACAATTCATTAATCGCACAAATCGTGTCTCCGATTCTGACTTCTAATACAATTTAAAAAATTAAAAATCATTCTAATATAATAATACTTACATAAAATTATATTTATGCATAATATTTGGTAGATTTTGATTAAATAGTATGATAGCTGTTAATTATCAAAAATAATAAAACATGTGATTTAGGGTTTTATTCATTTTGATGTAATATAATAAGTTTTGAGTCAAACAGCTTTACTGTTATTTTCGTTGTTAATTTAATTTTTAGCGCGATTTTTAACAATTAGTTTATATATTTTGTGTAATTTTAAAATTAGCTAAATATTTAAATCAATAAATTTGTTGAAAAGTAATCAAAGAATTGAAATAAAAATAAAGATTCGAAGAAATGAGTTCCAGAAGAAGACATGTCATGTGTGATGACATTTTGGGTCTTGTATTCAAGCGATTGGATATCAAAGACTTGTTTTCATTACAACGAGTGTCACAACAGTTCAGCCGTTGTTCACAACAAGTGCTGAAGAAGAAGAGAGAAGTGAGCGTTGGGTTCAATGATCTCAAGACAAACTCAAGGATAAGATGTTTTAAACCCAACTTTGAAGTCAAAGACTGGAATCGCATTGATATCACACCAGCGATCAGTTCATTAGGCATTAATTTGGTATTAAATTACAACCAAAACCCAAATATGGAGTCAATTGTCCGCCAATTCCGAGACGTGAAGAAGTTATATCTGTCCACAACTGTCATCGGTTTCAAGACATTAGAACTGATCGTCAATCAGTGGCCACATCTCGAAGAGCTCTTAGTCTATAACATCGATATCTATGCCTCGAGTGACAAGACTATCACCGAATGGACACAACTTCTCTCTAAAGTCAAACACATTACTATCGGAAGTGATGATAAAAAACGTGTGTTAATTCTCAGATATCTTATCAAATACTTGCCATCACTTCAAAGTGTGAACGTCTGGCGATCAATGGGTAACCGAACCGTTACAATATCAGTACTGACCGACTGTTTGTCGGCAAACATCCAATCCTTAGAAATCGGTGTGACGTCAGCGGACAGTCAGGCAATGGATGTGTTCACAACTAAATTCCAACAAATTAAGAAACTATCCATTCAACAGTCCTATAGACGAGTAGATGTCACAGATTTTGATCTCTGGAACCAATGGTTAGCAATGATCTGCGATCGACTCAAAGCACTCCAGTATTTGAAGTTTGTTTTGTTTGACATTTCCGCCAAAGAATTGGCCAAAAATATGGCAAAACTAAACAAATTGCAAACACTGGACATCACTTGCAGTTCGTTAATAAACTCCGAAAGTAGTGACAATAGTATGGAGGACTTCCCGAGAATCTGTTTCGATACTCAAGAGATGGCCAAATATATGCAACCAATGGTGTCGTTGAAGACACTATCGCTGCGGGCAATGAACTGTTCACCGAATCGGTGGTTAAATTTTTCCCAAATCTTCCCGAATGTCCGCCAATTGACTGTCGATTCCATGTATTATCGGTTGGAGTGTAAACACGGAGACGATTGTATTGAGTGTTTCTATCGGTGTATGGATTGGGTGTCAAAACTGCCGAAATTGAAACACATTACTATCGGTGCTGATATCGATGGTGACATCACAAGACATATACTGGAACTGTTTGCAAGTGTGGATCAGCTCAGCATCGATGACAATGAAAATATCATCAATGAGTTGATCCACTTTATAGGCTTTACACTCGACAATAGGCAGCGAGTATTCCGATTGAATTTGTGGTCTCATATCAAGAGTCAACTGATCCAAAGAATGGAAACAATGGATATCCCAATAAGTGAATGCGTGATTTTGGGCGACTTCTTCACATACCCAGCAGAAAAATACTAAGATCGCAGAAACTGATCCAACCTCTGCTACAATTGTATAAAAAATGCCTTTAAATAACTTTTTTGCAAAAAATAAAACTCGTATTTAGCGCCAAAACAAATGTAAACATTTATTTTAAACACCAATTGTCACTCTAACGGATCCAGACATGGAGAACCCAACCTTCTAGATGTACTTCATGTCTTAATGTCTTACATACATAAAATATACTGTACATTACATATTTATTGAGTTATATTAAATGTGACCATGATTATTCAATGTTTGAATTTCATATATCTCTTGAACAAGAGGTGTCACATGTATGGGAAGAACCATAGAGTTTGCAAATTGTTTGCGAAATAATTGGTTTAATTGACACAACATTTGCAAACAATTCATTAACCATCAGTCCACATTCTTAAATTAGTCCCGCGAAGAACATTCTCCCGAAATAAATCTCGGAGTTGCAGAGCAGCTAATTTATAGGATAGTCGAGATGGCAGCAGTGAGGGGATAAACGAGAGTTTATTATAAG